TACCAACAAATCCAGTCCTACAGAAGATACTAGAAGGAAAACTCCAACCCAAGGAAGTGAACTCACACCAGCAAAACTCAAAGAAGGGAAACACACACACACACACACACACACACACACACACACACACACACACACACACATCCAACAACAACAAAATAACAGGAATTAACAGTCATTCCTCATTAATAGCTCTCAATATCAATGGACTCAATTCCCCCCATAAAAAGATATGGCTAACAGAATGGTTGGGAGAAAAAAAAAAAAAAAAACCAGAATCCAGCCAGGTGTTGGTGATGCACACCTTTAATCCCAGCACTCAGGAGGTAGAGACAGACAGATATCTGTCAGTTCAACACCACCCTGGTTTACAAGAGCTAGATCCAGGACAGCCTCCAAAGCCATAGAGAAACCCTGTCTCAGGGGAAAACAAAAACCAAAAAAACAGAATCTATCCATCTGCAGCATACAAGAAACACACCTCAATATCAAAGATAGACATTATCTCAGAGTAAAGGGTTGGAAAAAGGTTTTCTAAGCAAATAGACCTAAGAAGCAAGATGGCAAAAAAAAAAGCAAGATGGCATAGCTATTTTAATATCTAACAAAACAGACTTCAAACAAAAATTAATCAAAAGGTATAGAGAAGGACACGTCATATTTATCAAAGGAAAAATCCATCAAGATGACATTTCACTCCTTAACATATATGCTCCAAACACAAGGGCACCCACATTTGTAAAAGAAACTTTACTAAAGCTTAAGTCACACATCAAACCTCACACACTAATAGTGGGAGACTTTAATACCCCACTCTTACCAGTGGGCAGGTCATCCAGACAAAAACTAAACAGAGAAATAATGAAGCTAACAGAACATTTCACCAAAACACAAAACCTTTTTCTCAGCACATCACAGAACTTTCTCCAAAACTGACCGCATACTTGGTCAGAAAGCAAGTCTCAAGAGATACAAGAAAATTGAAACTCTACTCACATGGTGACCTCACCTGACCTTTAGATAATGAACAATTTCAGACCTGTAAGATCTGAGTGCTGTGTTAGGTCAGGATGCAGTAGGAAGCCAGCATCATAAAGAAAACAGACTGCTTCCTTAGCAACACTATTCTCTAAACAGTTAACGGGCCAATATGTAATCCACACAGCACAGCACAGATATCAACCTACAGTAAACAGCTTTGTTCCAGTATAAAGTCAAAACCTAAGACTATGGTTCTAATCCTGCCCTCTGAGATGTCAATGCAAATTTTCCTCAAATCAGAGGCCATGTTCTTGCAGATAAGAAATGTAATCTTAGCTGAAGATGATATCAATTTTTAATATGAATGGGAAGGGGCAGACAACATGCTCCAGACTCCTGTATATAAGGGTTTTTGTGGAGATGAGGTTTATCACAATGGAAACAGGAGAGAAGGACGGGCTGCCGTTCTCATGCAGTTGTCAGAGTTGACAACACACCCAGGGAGATTTGAATGATTCTGATATGCTTCAGATACTTATCTGACCTTTGATGGGGGCTAGTTAAGCCAAACCAAGTACAATGTACTATTCCTCTACCAAAGATGGCATTCTTCATGGGAACAGGAAAAGCTCAACTCTGTATTTTATAACAATGCTATCATAGGCATTTGAAAGTCACTATCCATTATGTTTTTTCATGTGTATTATCTGATTGAATTCTCACAACCAGCATAATAGGTAGAAGTACATTACTGCCCCATTGTAAATGATGGCAGAGAAAAAAGGATGTATAATCCACTCATAGCTACTAGCATCTGAACTCTGGGGTTCTGACCTCAATGAGTTGTTCAACATATATGTGAGATACAATAGCTCCAATGTGTAGCTAGAGAGGTACAGAGAGCACACAGCCCCTGCCTTCATGGAGTATGTGCTCTGTGACAAAGATGGGCATTGAACAAGTAATTTCAAGTAAATGAAAAAACAGAAAGCCACTGCAGTACAGGTTCCAGTCCCCTAAGAGAACAATACTGCAAAGTGTACTGTCATACTAATACCAATTATCAAGGTCTACTCTGCGAAAGCACCAATCATTATGACACTGCACAGATTTTAAAAGTTCAGTGACTATTTTCTAATCCCAACAGGTTATGACAAATAACTAATGTTTAAATCAAAACAAAGTTCAATAAAATCAATTATATATTCACTTACCCTCTTGGTGTTAAGTGAACAAAATGTAAAAACTGTCATTGCTTACCTAAATACAAGAGTGCTGACCATTTTAATTATAAGGTAATTCTTTCATGTAGATATTTCTATGATAGATAGATAAGCCTCACACTATAGAACACAGTATGTTCTAGCTGTGGTAGCCAGAACCACAGCACCTTTTTAAAAAATGATTTATTTAACTTTACTTTATGTGCATGAAGTTAGCAGAAGCCCTGAAACTGGAGTTACTGATAGCTGTGAGCTGCCATGTAGGTACTTGGGAGTTGAACCTGGATCCTCTGGGAGAACAGCCAGTGCATTTAACTGCAAAGCCATCTCGCCAGCCCCAGAACCACAGCACTTTAATCCCAGCACTTGGGAAGCAGAGGTAGGCAGATTTCTCTGAGTTTGAAGCCAACTTGGTATGTATGTGAGATCCAGGCCAGCTAGAGTTGCACAGTTAGACCCTGCCTTTAAAAAAATAGAAAGAAAAAAAAGAATATAGTATGTGCAAAGTCATTTCTTGGTTTATTTAGAAATAGTCTAACATGGTCATGAGCAGAGAGATTCTGGTGTCTGGCCAGCTAGGTCTGCATGTCAGCTCTGACAACACATCATAGGGCAGCTCTCTTGGCTTCAAAGCCCAAGTTCTTCACCAGTAAAAGGTGATTAAACAATGTGCAAACCACTAAGAGTTTCTCTGAAGGTTAAATGAATGAATGCATGCAAAGTGCTTAGCCTCTACTATCTCTCTAAATTGTCTGCCTGGATGTGGACACAGAAAGAGAGAAGACACAGTAAATGTGTGATGTGTGGATGGACTTGATGTTACGAAGTTAGAATCAGAAGGCCACTCACTAGAGAGCACCTAAGTCAGCAGAGCGGGTAGCCCCAGGCAGTCTCAGTAAGGAGCCCTTCCTGGGAGGCAGAAAGGCAAATGGAAGCTGACAAACGGTAATTAGAGCTAATTCATGTTTGGGAGGAAAGAACAGCAATGTGGACAATTAAAGTGCTTTTCCCCATGCCTCAGCAGCCCTGAAAACACATCACTGGAGGGAGGAGACTTTCACCTACCACTTGTTTGCCCTCCCACAGAGTGATCAGCCTCTTCCTCTACCAACAGGTACAGCCTCTGGGTGATAGGAAGCCACAGCCTGAATGGGACCCGGAAGCTACCAAAACTGGTGCTTCTCAAGTCTTTAAACCACAAAAGCCTTTTCCTAAGAGGAAAGTATGAATGAAAAAGTGAAAGCATGCAGCTACTTAGGCTTCTGAAGAAATGTGGTCCCAGAGGCCAGCAGCTGTGGTCCCTACTTCCTACCCACATCCCCACCACAGCTCCTAAAGCATCATCTGAGAGCCACGGATAACAAATGACCTTCTCCTTGATTCTACAGTAGAATCTAAAGGTCAGGAAGTAGGGGACTCCCGTATAATACAGGGGAAGCTGGCTAAGCTAGAACTGAATACAACCAGTTTTCTAACGGCCAGTCAGAGACTCTATTAACAGTCTGCCACTTTCTTGACTCACACGCCAAAAAGAAAAAGGACACAAACTGCTTCAAGAGAATATGCCTCATCACAAGAACAAAACACAGACGAGAGGCAGATAATCTATCACGTGGGGCACCTCGAGGCTAAACACTACTAATCCACAATTGAACAGGACTCCAAGCAGGGTTGTTGCTTTTTTTTAGAGGGGGGATTATTTGTTTGTTTTTTGATTTTTTGAGACAAGGTTTCTCTGTGGCTTTGGAGGCTGTCCTGGAACTCGCTCTGTAGACCAGGCTGGCTTCGAACTCACAGAAATCCTCCTGCCTCTGCCTACAGAGTGCTGGGATTAAAGGCGTGCGCCACCAACACCCCGCTGGATTCTAGTTTTTTTGTTTGTTTTGTTTTTTTGTTTTGTTTTGTTTTGTTTTACATTAAAACAAATTAAGTCGAGAAAAAAAAAAAGAAAGAAAAAACACAACTTCCTGAAAGAAAGGCAGGCATCACAGGAAATGCCTAGCAGACTCACATTCACAGCCAGGCTGCATATGGATGCATGCAGTTCTTCTGTGGAGGAAGTTGAAGTCACATTAATGAGATTGTCGGGGAATGAAAACAGAAAGCAAATACCTAACAGAATGAACTGCAGTGACTAATGCATTGATTAGAGTTTTCTAGTGCCCAGCATGATTTTTGTTCTGGTCACAGCACCCAGCTCGGATCATCTGGTTATACTTTGAGGCATCTGTATTTGCCGGGCAGTGGTGGCACATACCTTTAATCCCAGCACTCGGGAGGCAGAGGCAGGAGGATCTCTGTGAGTTTGAGGCCAGCCTGGGCTATAGAGCAAGTTCCAGGACAGCCTCCAAAGCCACAGAGAAACCCTATCTCGAGAAAGAGAGAGAGAAAGAGAGAGAGAGAGAGAGAGAGAGAGAGAGAAAGCCAAAGGTCAGGCCAAGTGCTTCCTTCTTGGGACTCTGTGTTGTACAGTTCAAGGTTCAAATTAAACCTTGTAAATTATTTTCTAAAGTCCTGTAACTTTCCTCCATTTGAGTCACCAGTAATAGACAGAGCCCTCAAAATTCAACATAATCCTGCATCTATGTCAAAAGCTAAGAGACTGGCAGGAATCTGGACACACTAAAGCCTATGACAGGCCACTACTTAGTATGGACATCCCAGCACTCAGGATAGCATTTTGACCTTTTCAGTCCATAAAAGGAGGGTTCATAGTACTCAGAGGTAAGGTTGCCAGATTTGACACAGATTATTTCCCAGCCTTATCTGCCCCACATTCTTTAAGTGTTGTCTCACCTTCTCCAGTTTGAACACAGCACCAATGTGCGGGCGGATGAGCCCTTGCTGGCAGTACCGCAGGGCAGAGGACAAGCTCTTGGAAAACAAGGCAAAGTCCTGGTGTTGGTAGCGACCCCAGTACAGGCCCATGGCAGAGATGTTCTTCAGGAGCAACAAGTTGCTGGGCAGAGATGCGATGTTTCCTCCAGCGAATCCCAACACCACAATCCTGCCTTCCCACGCCAGGCTGAGGGAAAGAAGGAAGGGGAAAAGGTTATAAGGACCAATGGACATGGCTGGGAAGACACCTCAGTCAGTAAAGCTCTTGGAGTACAAGCGTGAGAACCAGAGTTCTGATCCCCGGCATTCACATAAAAAGGAAGGCATGGTGGTGTACATCCTAGCATGGGGGTCCCTAAGCAACCAGAGTAAGGGAGATGGTAACCTCTGGGTTCAGTGGAAGACCCTGTCTCAAAAAATCAGATGGAGAGGAATAGAGGAAGAGACCCAGCACCAACCTCTGGTCTTCACACAAGCATACATGAGCAAGTACGCAAGTACACCACCTCCAACATGTGGATATACACATTCACCACACAGAGAGAGAGAAAGAGAAAGAGAGAGAGAGAGAGAGAGAGAGAGAGAGAGAGAGAGCACAATGGACATGTATACCCATCAAGATAGCTACTATAAAAAAAGAAAATAGCCAGGCGGTGCTAGCGCATGCCTGTAATTCCAGCACTTGGGAGGCAGAGGCAGGTGGATCTCTGAGTTCGAGGCCAGCCTGGTCTACAGAGTAAGTTGTCCTCACCAGATGAAAGGATAAAGTGTAACACACACACAAACATACATTCTCACACATGGAACAGTATTCCACCTCTGCTAGGAAGGAAATCCTGTCACATGCTGTCACACAGGTATCCTCCAGGACAGTATGCTTTAGAATCGAGGCTGTCTCTTCTTGTGGAACAATCTTTCTGTACACTATGATTTATGTGTCACTCTGATTGATTTCATAAAAAGCTGAACAGCCAATAGCTAGGTAGCATTTTCAGGGCTGAGAGAATGCTGGGAAGAAGAGGGATGAGTCACCAACCAGAACAAGAAGGAGCAAGACAAGCAGGAGGACAGGTAAATGCCACAAGTCACATAGCAACACAGAGATGAATAAAAATGGGCTAATTTAAGTTATAAGAGCTAGTGGGACAAACCTAAGCTATTGGCCAGGCTTTCGTAATTAATATAAGTCTCCACATCATGATTTGGGAGCTGGTTAGCCAGACAGAAAAAGTCCAACTGCAGTCTCTTCCACTGTGGAAGGGTATTGGGTATCAACAAATGTCACTCCATGGGTCAAATTTCAAGGCAACTCAGCTTGAAGATTTTGAACCTAGGTAACAGGAGTAAGACAGATGATGGCATAAGCAGTCCCTTTAAACAGAGACACTTGAGGGTTCCTTAAGGCCTGGTAACTTCTTTAGAGAATTCTGAATAATGTATAAAAATCCCCAACTTTTCTGGAGCCCCCTTGTGAGATGCGCCATAGAGCACGCCCACGTGCATGATAAACAACAACTCTGCGTGGGTCTCTGATAGAAGACATGTGTGTGGTTGTTTGGGCTTCGTTGGTTGTGTTGTTGCTTTGTTTTTCTTCTTCAGAAAGGAAACACAAAGCTGTTTTCAAACCACAGTTATCCAGACGGCAAGATGAAAGGCACAAGAAGAGTAGGTCCCCTTGGTCTCCGCACCCTCCTCTGCTTCTTCCCTAAGCACAGGACCAGCACCTGGAGTGATTCTCAGTGTCCATATGCCTGCTTCCCAGCTCAGGGGATTCCTTCTGGATTCTTCTAGTGCTACCTGGATTCCTTCTGTGGTCAGGCTGCTCTCTCTGCTCTTGTTTTTCAACTTCAAACTGAGAGATACACTACAAAGCACCGATGTGAACAATGAAACCAGGCCAGTTGTGGTGGCTCAAGCACACTTGTGATCTCAGCTCTCAGGAGGCAGGAGATCAGGAGTTCAAGGCCAGCCTTGGCTACAGAGTGAGTTTCAGAACAGCATAGCAAATATCCCGTCTTAAGAAACCCACCAGGATGCCAGGCAGTGGTGGCGCACGCCTTTAATCCCTGTGTCTCTGTGAGTTCAAGACCAGCCTGGTCTACAAGAGCTAGTTCCAGGACAGCGTCCAAGGCCACAGAGAAATCCTGTCTCGAAAAACCTAAAAAGAAGAAGAAGGAGAAGAAGAAGAAGAAGAAGAAGAAGAAGAAGAAGAAGAAGAAGAAGAAGAAGAAGAAGAAAAAGAAGAAGAAGAAGAAGAAGAAGACCACCAGAAGAGGGAAGGGGAGAGGGTGGGTGGGAACAGTGCCCTCAGAACACACCAGAAGCCCTAGGGGAAACTCAAAGGAGCTGGGAAGATAGAACAGCCCCACCAAGCCTCCACTGACACATAGTTAATCAGAAAAACCAAGGACGCACACAGCTGCTGCAGGGCCAGCACAGTCAAAAGAGCTTGTGCCTTGGTACACAATCAGCTGGGAAATGGGAACTGCCGCTACAGCAATCCCAACATCTGAACAATGAGCTCCCCAGAACCCCACACCCTCGTGTATTTAAAGCAGTTAGTGGGGGCCAGGGAGCTGGATTTAACACATGGATAATTTCTAAAGTCTTTGGCATTGCCAACTGGAGAGTCTGCAGTCATTTTTTGAATATTTTCCAGTTGGGTATTTTGTTTTTACTATATTTAAGCATTTCCTGATTTTCTCTGCTTCTGTTCCTTGTCACCCACCCACTCAGCTATTCTCGTTGATGCTGGTGCCTACAGGAGACGTGAGCAACAAAGACAGAGAGAAGCTAAGGCAGTTGGAGTTGAAGATGCAGAAGGATCTGTGGAGCCATTCTGGACGGAGCACTGCACGTACCTGCGGACAGACTCCAGGAAGACATCTCCTCCCACCATGTCAATGGCCACATTCACCCCACCGCTGCCCACCAGCTTCTTCACTGCATCTTTGAGGCTGCCCTGGCTGTAGTTCACGCTGGACTGTGCACCCCTCTGCATCGCCAGCTTGCACTTCTCGTCGCTTCCAGCTGCAGCTATGACCTGAGGGAAAACACAAGGTTTCCAATGGTCCAGATCATGTCATAGGAGGGGTACATCCTACCAATCTAGACTCCAGCCAAAGCGCTGCCCAAGGCACTCCTCCTGCCCAAGCATTGGCCTTGATCCCAACACTGACAGCACCTCACTGACCCCTCCATGTACCGTAAGTTCTGAAGTCCACAGTTGGAGGAACCACATATGTCTAATTAGATGGTTTAAAAAGCAATGAAAGTTTTCTCCAACTCCAAATGAAAATATCATTTAATGAGCATCCACCATGAGACACACAGTAAGAATACAAGCTGGATGTCACGCTTGGAGTCAAGAAAGAAAGATGCAGTGTGTGTCAGGGAAGGAGAGAGGCTCCACAAGCACAAACCAGAGATTTCCAGTCTAGATCTTGAAGATCAGGAAAGGCTTCCCAGTGGGTGAATATAAGCCAGAAATTCCTGAAGTCAGACAGATCAGGGTTCAAATCCTGGCTCTTCTACTCACCAACTGCATCACATTGGACAAATTACTTAGGAAGAACTAACAACACACTGTGTTATATTTTCCAGGCACCATTCTAAATGCTTTATGTATAGTGATAATTCATTTATTCATGATAGCTCAATGAAACACACACCATTAGCTCCGTGTTATTGATGAAGAAAAAGAGGCAAGTTAAGAGAAGTTAAGTAAATTATCCAAGGAATACCACACAGCTGAGACCCAAATCCAGGTAACTCACTTAACCAAGCTCTACACACTTAACCTCCACCCTGCCTGACAGCTTCTCCAGGTATCAGCTGCCTCAAATCAAAGAAAAACTTATTTCTAAAGGTAAGTGGAACCCTGAATATGAAGTCTTGGGGCAGGGGACAGGGGGTAGAAAAGTTACAGTCAATGTCAGACTTCAGAGGAACATTATGGGGAAGACACAAGTACTGCCCCTCCATTACTGCAGAGGTACAGACTCAGAGAGACTAAGCAATCAAACCAGGGTCACCCAAGTAATAGGTGGCAGTGGAACGAACACTGCAAAGCCAGTAGTAATGCCTTCCTCCAAAGTGCATGTTTTTCTGCTTTGTCATCCTTGGGGAAAACCATGCCTAAGGCTTAGGCCCAAGACAGGTGATACAGATGTGTGACAAGTCCAGGATCTGGAAAATCTCAAAGCTGCAAGCACTAAAGTGTCGCCTAGAGGTGCCTTGTCAGTGAGGACACCCCCACAAAGTCCAAGGTGATGCTCAGAATCTGCACTTGTGCAGCCTGAAGGCAATTTTGGTTTGATTGTTAGTTGGGGACCATTTCTTGTTTTAAAGAGGTTTGCTTGCCTGGTTTCTTTAAGACAGGGTGTTGCTATGCACTGCAGGTGGATTCTAGCTCTCCATTCTCCTTCCCCAGCCTTCTGATTCTGGGAAGAATGGGAGTATACCACCGCCCCTGGATATAAAGGAGCTTAATTTTCTCTCTCTCTTTTTTCCCCATTTTTTTTATGGTGCTGGGGATTGAGCTCAGGACCTTACACATGTCAATCAATTGTTCTACCACTGGTTTATGCCTGCTAAGCCATGCCTGTGTTTCTACTCCAGCCTGTCTCAGGGACACAGATGTGGAACTCCACCTGTGGTATTTGACAGCACTCAAAAGACTTTCAAATTTAAGTACTGCAAAGTGTGGGTGTCTGGGTTAGGGATATTGCACTGCTTCTCACCCATAAGGATGCAGTGCAGAGTTCGTCACAGTGGTGTGTGCCTACAAATCCATCTATCTAGAAGGCTGACGTGGGAGAGTCAAGAGTCTGAAGCCAGTGAGGTAATGGAGTAAGATCCAGTCTCATTGTTACTGCCCCATTCTACTGACCACTTTCAACTATATGTAAACTCATTTCTGCATTATTATGTATGTATGATGGTTAAATTCTCTTTGAATTAGGTATGCCAGCTTCTTTGTTAATTGATTATTGAATAAAATCTTTGGGGCCCAAAAAAAAAAAAAAAAAAAAAAAAAAAAGTGCAAAAAAGTGCTGCTGGGTGGTGATAGTGCATGCCTTTAATCTCTGTGATTTCAAGGCCAGCATGGTCTATAAAGTGAATTCCAACGCTACACAAAAAAATCCCTGTCTCAAAAAAAAAAAAAAAAGATAAAAAAACTGTACTAAGATACTGAAGAACATCAGTGTCCATAAAGGATTCCAAACTCACCCATAACTATTTGGAACTGAAAGTTACTTTCAAGTGCTCCCTAGCCCTTAAAACAGCACAGTCTGCTGAGGGTTATTCCCACAAAGGGCCATGGTGAGCAGACATCAGACTAGGACCAGGTACCTGATCCCATGTATAGCTCATTACCAGGTCTCAGTGAGACCTACAGTGAACTGCTTTCTCTCTTGGTGCTTCACTTTCTTGATCTGTGAAATAGATAGAGATAATAAACACTTAGAGGACTCTTCTCCCAGGAGCAGTATGAGGATCATGGTTAAGATAATTCCTTCGGAGGCACTCTGGAAGCAGTATTCGACACTGTGGATAGAAGGTGTAAGCAAATGACCTGTGCCAAGTAGGGCATGTGGAAACATTTTTAACTTGTATTTTCATGTACTTATATCTTAAAGGACTTTCCCCTTCAAAAGAAGATATAGCTCAGACAAATTTTAATATCTGAATTGAAACAAATTTTTCTATTGAATCTCTTAGAACTAAATAAGTGGTATAATTTTTCTACTTAAGAAATGCTAAACAGACACGGAGACTAATCATGATCTCTCCCCCTAAGAGAGCTAAAAGCCCTTCCTGATAACATGAGATGTGCTAATATTCCACAAGAAACCTCCAAGTCCCTGAGGTTATTCTCACATCTCACATCTCCTTCCACAAGTTTACTAAGGTGAGAAAGGAGAGATGCCACCTGAGGCACCAAATTCCATCAACTTCTAATTCTAGGTGCAGTCTCACTATCCTGGCCACAAGTGCCAGAGGAAACTTGCAGTCAGGCCACATGTGGCAGAGGAACCTTGCAATCAACATGGCCAAAAAAGCTCTCCATGTCCCCCTGTGCTCTCTCTGTCCCCTGTGCTCTCCATTTCCTCCTGCACTCCCCAAGTCAACAAATGGCAATCCCAAAAGTTAACTAGTTTCTTTCTTCCCATTCAATGTCTAACAGTAACAGGACTTGTAGAAAAACGAACTGACACACCACACTTCTGATAGGCATGTTGCACATAGAATCTCAATATTCCCAGTGGCTCTGTGGAAGCAACACCTTACAAATGAGGCAACTGATGCTCTTAAGCTGGAAGCAGAGCTTCGATGTGAACCTCCCTCCAATACCTTTAGACTCTTCCTCTGACTAATAAGATGTTCTTGGGTCTTTGAATACTCTTATTTTTTCCCACTCCATTGATCTCAACTGCCTTGGTCCAGGTATCATAACCTCTAGCCTAGACAATGCCCTGCCCTTCTGTCTCCCTCACCTCTGACCTTACCTCCATCTCTCATACCCACAGCCACCATAGTGAACTTTAAATGCAAAGGCAATGCAGGGAGTGTTAGTCAGGACCCACAATTGCAGCAAAATAGGAGGATCCCCAGTTGGAAGCCAGTCTAGACCACACAGCAAGATCTTGCCTCAAACAAAACAAAACTAAAGATAATAATGTCATTTTCCTACTTTAAATTCTCAATAACCCCCCAATAGTCTTCAACAAGCATTCAAATATTTCAGCTATGACCATGATCCTATCAGACCTGACTATCGTCACCTTTTACTATTCTACTGCAGGTCCTTCGTTTCGAGACACCACTGGCAATTCTCTGCCTGCATGGTGCTTCTTCCTTTTTCTTGGTCTTCTACCAAATTGTACCACCACTAAAATGGCCTTGACTTGTCATCACCTTCTTCTATTTAACTGATACCAGTCCTTCAGAGGTCATCTGAAATGTCTATTTCCTCACAGAAGTCATCCTCTGACCCCTACAGCCCCAGAGATGCCCCCTGTAGAGACTTGGCCCATCTTCCATTCATTCATTGATTCATTCATTCATTACTTGAAATAGCTCTTGAGTACATACTAGGCTCTAGGCACCATAATAGCTCTGGGACTAGTCATGAACCACACAGGCATTTCCCCAGGATTCCAGTCCAGGAAAAGGGAAGACATTGATCCACAATGGCTCAAATATGGAGCAATCACACAGTGAGGTATGTACTAAGAAACAGAAGTGTAAGAGACCATGCATCAATAGTAGAGAGGGGAGACTGACCTAGCCTGAGGACAGGGATAATTCCCTGAAAAGGTGACATGAGTTTAAATCTGAATAAGAGGGAGACAGTTTGGAGCACTGCGGGCAGAGAAAAGAGCATCTGCAGAGGCCATGGTGGAAAGCAGCCCTTGCCAGGTTCCAGGACCTGAAGGGCCAAGTGGTACACCTCTAGGTCTCTGCTTAGTGAGAAAGCACACAGATGGCAAGATCTTATTCTAAGTACTATAAGTCCCCAGTGCCCTTCCCACAATACTTGATAAGTGAATTAATATATTTTATGCCTAAGCACTGGAGTTAATTTTTAATGGAGACTCTAACATTCAAATACCTTGGCCCGGAGAACATTTGTCGCCACATCTATCACTGCAAGGCCTGTGGCTCCAGCGGCGGCTGTCACTAGAACAGTTTCCCTGTGCCAAGGGAAGAAAAACATTGCTGTAGAAACCTTCAAAGATCACCCAGTGGTTAGGTTCCAGGGACACAGACAAGAGCATTTTAAAGCAAGAATGTTAGAGACCCTTTCATTCAAGCTCTCCAACCCTGAGGGTAGGATATGCACATGACTTTAGAACCAATGCTAACTCTGTCTGGTTCTGAAGACTTTCCAGGAAAAAGGTCTCTCTCTCTCTCTCTCTCTCTCTCTCTCTCTCCTTCTACACACACACACACACACACACACACACACACACACACAGCAGTAGCAACTGTTCCTCTAAGCAACCATACCAATACACGCTTCAGAAATTTCATCCTATAACCATTCTCAACTAAACACTGCCTGATTTTTAGAAGGCGGTGTTCATAGCCACTGTTCAACTGAAGCTACCAGTTGGTGCAACTCTGAAGGCCAGCTCTCTGAACAGATTGTGAGCCAGTTTCCCAAGTAAAGGGAAGATTTCAGAACTTTAAGTTTAAAATATCTGTAGCCAGGCAGTGGTGGCTCATGCTTTTAATCCCAACATTTGTGAGGCAGAGACAGGTGGATCTCTGTGAGTTCAAAGCCAGCCTGGTCTATAGAGCGAATTCCAGGACAGCCAGGGTTACACAGAGAAACCCTGACTTGAAAACCAAATATAAATAAATAAGTAGTATAATAATAAAGTATTCTACTTGGCATAACCAACCAAGCCCAATAGAAACAAATACCATTAAGTGTTACTTATTCACAGAAAGTGAATTTAAATAAACCAACTTCCACATAGGAATGATGATACATGCCTGTGCTCCCAGCACTCAGAGGCTAAGAATGAAGCTATTGAACTCGAAGCTAACTTGGGCTCTATAATTTGTCCCAAGCCAGCCTGAGCAAGACCCCTGTCTCAAAAATAAAATAAAAATAAATCAACTCTGTAAACATGAAGTACTCCTATGAAGTGATCCCCAGAGTGGTCAGGTTCAAGAGAACTGCTTTTCCAAATTCATATTCCAAGTTCTACCATTCCGAGGCAAAAGAATGACCCACACCCAGTCCCCAGTATGAAGAGATTACTGCTCTTTTGCCTTTTGCCTTTCCTCTACTTAAAGAAACTTGAGCTGAAGAGTAGCAAGGGGAGAGTCGAGGGGAAAGAACGAGAGTGGAGAAGAAAAGAAGGATAATGTTGTTTTGTTTGGGGTTTGGTTTGGGCTCTGAAATAGGGTCTCATGGAGATCAGGCTGGCATCTAAGTCACTCTGCAGATGAGGAGGGCCTTGGATTCCTGATCCTCCTGCCTCTTTTCCCAAATGCTAGGAACCCAAGTACACCACCAGGCTGGGCTTCAGGTCCTGCCAGGCATTTCTAATATCAATAAAAGGTGCCACCTAGCTCTCTGCCTCTTACACAGTCCTTACCCAGGCTGGGTGCGGGCCCGATGCTCTACAGCCAAAATAGCTGTGCCGTAAGATACAGGTAGGACTGCAGCATCTTGTAGAGAGACGTTTTCTGGAATCCGCCACAAGGTCTATGCAAAGAAATAACAGCAAACTGTGGCAAACATGTGTACCTGGTTACAGAAGCTGCTCAATAAACATTATGATTTGATTGGGTGAGTAATTTGCAATGGGAAACACATGTTTATTACCACCTATTAAGGAGTACGTGTCAGGACCAAGCAAGCCACGGTGAGTTTAGGATTTTGGGTATATCAGATTTCAAACCCCTAAGGCTGATATCTTCTCAAAAAAGGAGCCAATTGTGGGAGAATAGACTCCAATTACTATGGGGTTATAGACAATTGCACATTAGGTAAATTTTACCTCTGTAAAGTTGGATGGGATTCTTATAGCATGGCCCCACTAGGGGGCACCACTCACATCTTGCTCACCCCATACAGAGCTACCCTGGCTGGCTCTGTTCCCAGCACAGAGCACTTCCATAAGTTTTATAGGAAAACAAACCTATATCCAACTCAATGCGCTAAACCAGTTTTTCAACCACAACTCACTAAATAGGGTCCAAATGAATGGCCAGCCAGTTGCTCAGGCACTTGAAAATAAATAAATAAATAACCCACTCTACACTCTATACAAACAAACTCTATGCAAGAGCTGTGCACCAAGACAGAAGTTTAACATTTGAGCATTTGAAAGAAGAAAAAAAAAACTGCTTGGCTAGAAACAAGATATAATGAAACAAACACAAAAGGAAGGTGGTTTGAGAAGAGAGTCATGGAAACTAAACAGAACAAAGGAAAAGAAGAAATCTATGTGTCCAACAGTGCTGAGGGGCAGGTATACCTTCTGGTCAGTGATGCACTCTTCAGCCATAGCATTTAAGTTGCTAGTCACTCCAATAACTCGATCTCCCTGGAGGAGAAAGGACATATGTTCAAAGGACATATGTTGCATTCCAAGACACACATCTCTAACCCACAAGACATAGCTTGGCCTTAATATCTCTTCAGAATTCATTTCTAGTTTAAAAACAAAATGACAGTTCTCTCAATACCAGGCTACCAAGCCAATATGAGCACATTGTACACACCAGGAGAGCCAAGGAAGGAAAAGTTGGTAGGAATTAGAATTCCTGTTACTTCTTTCACTTTCGACTCAAACTTAAAAATCTTTTATCAAAATAAAATCCTTTATTCTTTTAGTAACTGAAGACCAAGTAGTGTCTTATATTCATAATAAAGAGTTTAATGAGGCCAGAAACTTCCACCAAGTCCCCCCATCTCCTTATTCATAATTCATTCTTTCCCTTCTGCCTCAAGTTCCCTTGGTCACATGGAAAAGGCCAGGAGAAGCAAGACTTTTGGGTATAAATGAAATTAACACATTTCTCACAGCGACACACTCATTCTGGGGTTTTAACCAATTTACCTTCTTCACATTGTTGACATCTGTTCCTGTCTCCAGGACAGCCCCAGAAAACTCCATTCCTGGAATATTTAAAGATTAGGTTATCTTCTGGCCAGGCAGTGGTGGCACACGCCTTTAATCCTAGCACTCAGCGGGCAGAGGCAGGTGGATCTCTGTGAGTTCCAGACTAGCCTGGTCTACAAGAGCTAGTTCCAGGACAGCCTCCAAAACCACAGAGAAACCCTGTCTCAAAAAAAAAAAAAAAAAAAAAAAAAAAAAAAAAAAGATTAGGTTACCTTCTTCTAATTCCAGCACCCTGGAGATACGAAAACGGTGATCAACAGGGTGCCTCATCTGCTATAGGAGCTATTAAATTTTAAATGCCCATCATTTTAACTAAGGGTAAAAGGTGGTACTCAAAACACAGGAAAATGAGCATAAGGTTTCATGGTCACAACACATATGTTACGGCTGTCCCATTCTTGACCTAGATCAGTTCGAGAATATGCAAAAGCACATTGACTCATGGGTACGCAGGTACTTTTGACCCTGATCACTGGGCCATCGGACTGCTACACAACCCCAACTATAATGATCACCAAATTATATTTATCTGCTGCCATGTCTCCTTTGCTGAACTACAAGGAGGTCCTCAAGGACATGACCTATATTTATTCAGACAGTACTCAGCTCAACAGAATGAATTAGCACTATCTGCCCTTTCTTCATCCACCTCTGAAATTTCTTTCATTTTTTTATGTTTTTATTTGCTTGGGTTTTTTTTGTTTTTGTTTTTGTTTTTTGGGTTTTTTTTTGGTTATTTGTCTGAGACAGAGTTTCTCTGTGTAGCCCTGGTTATCCTGGAACTCCCTCTGTAGACCAGGCTGCCCTCGAACTCACCGAGATATGTCTCCCAAATGCTGGGACTAGAGGCATGCACCACCACTGCCCCACCACCTCTGAAATTTCTGAACCTAATAGCTATGCATTTCCTACTTGCTCTGCCAGGGGAATAACTTCATTGTGACACCTTCCTCTAGTCTATTCTTTCAGCAAATACAAACAGAAGGAAACGGTTCCTGGTAGTATTAAGACAGAATACCAAAAACCCCAAACACAACAGCTGTGTGGCAATCATGGAATCACTATAATCTTTATATTTATCTGTATATAATATGCATGTACTCCAAACACACTAAGCTCTACTTAGATCTCCTTAAATAAACTTCAACAACAAAAACCAGTTATGTATCTATGTATTAAAGATCTAAAAGTAACCAGACAGAGAGAGCGTAATGGAAATCAGACAGTGGGCTGCTAAGACACAACTAAATTTTTCCTTCCTCTTCTTACTTTGGAACCTTCAGCACTGAGCTCCTTTGGGCTTGGGGTGATGAGGGTACAGGTCTTAGATGCAAGCATGTTTGTGATCCTTCAGTGAAAAAATAAAACTGAGGCAACACCAAGAAGGCAAAGGAATGAGCAGGGTTAACAATAGAATTCTGGTGAACACAACAATGTGTAAACAATTGCCCATTTGTTCAGTTTAAAGCAGTTAGTGAATGCCCTTAGTTAGCTGCCGCTGTCAACTTGACACATCCCAGAAGTATCTGAGGAAGTCTTAATTAGGGGATTGCCCCAGTCAGATTTGCCTGTGGGCCTGTCTGTAGGGCATTTTCTTGATTGCTAATTGAAGCAGAAGGGTCCAGACCACTGTGAATGGTACCATCTCTGGGCAGATGAGTCTGGGCAATATAAAAAGGATAGCCCAACATGTGCCTGTGAGCAAGCAGCATTCCTCCATGGTTTCTGCTTCACTTCCTGCCCTGACTTCCCTCAGTGATGGAAGTGGAAGCCAAATAACCCTTTCCTCACCAAGTTGATTTTGGTCAGTGTTTATCACAGCAACAGAGAATCTAACTAGACCACCGAGTGTCATCTATAAGCCAGGGCAATGCTAAGCTGGGGATACAATATTGAGTACAATAGGCCTGCAAGGGGAGGGTCATGAGGTAGTGACTCTAACAGTGATGGTGGCATATATAACAGAAACCTCACTGGTCAAGCCTGGCAGAGGATGGGGAGTAGCGTCTAAGAAGATGCATGTGGCTCTGAAAACCTTCAAAATCTTTTCCTGAAGTAGTCGCTTCAGGAGTATCCCCCATACTCACCAGGTATAAAGGGAAGAGGGGGTTTTTCCTGATACTGACCATTACAGACCAGAATATCAGCAAAGTTGACACCACAAAAGTGAACATCAACTCTGACCTGCAAAGGAAGCACAGAAGAACAAAATGGAGACAGAGTTCTTCGATAATAATTAATTAAAAAAGGGTTACCCAATGAATGACAACCATATGCCAGGTACTGAACAAGGAGTCAGAGTATCTTAAGGCAAAATGGACAAAGTTTCAGCCTCTGTGGACCTGCAAGTATAGAAGAGAAGGCACCAACTAAATAATAATGAAGCTAATGAAGCCGAATGTGCTTCTGCTGTTCAGTCAGAATCACAATCAAACTTGAAATCTTCCCGGATTATAAACCTGAACCACCATACCTGGCTCATATGTGTTGCTTTATAGTTCAACATACAGTATTAAAGATAGGAGAAAGCACATAATGAGGTCATGTGACCCTTTTGAAGAACATCAAGAAAAACTAGGGATGTAGTTCTTGAGCTACTAAAAGCAAAGAGTTAATGATTCAGACTAGGAGGTGAAAGCTTGGCACAGATAAAAGCAATGTCATGTGCAAAAGCCCTGTAACAGAGACAAAAGAAAAACCAGTGAGCCTAGAACATAAAGAGGAGAAAGAGACAAGGGAGCAAGAGAGTGAGAACACAAGACTACACCAAGATTTTAGGGATGAACTTAGGACTTCGAACTTCATACTAGATATAACAGGATGCCACTGAGGGTCTAAGTATAGACAACTATGGTAGGAACATGAGGAGGACATCCTAGAGTCCTGTCTTCTATGCTCTTGGCAAAGCCATCACTGAGGCAGAACTGCAACCACATGGCCAGTAGTATCTCTAAACCAATGGTTCTCAACGTTCTAATGCTGTGACCCTTTAATGCAGTTCCTCATGTTGTGATAACCCCCAACCACAGAACTGTTTCATTGCTACTACATAACTGTAATTTTGCTACTGTTATGAATTGTAATGTAAATATATGATATGCAGAATATCTGATATGTGACCCCTGTGAAAAGGTAGTTCGATGCCCAAAGGGATCTCAACTCACACGTTGAGAACCACTGCCCTAGACCTTTAGAGGAGCCAGTGAGTCTCAAAAAGTGGTTAGTGCTGACCATCCTTGGCATCCCCTGGGAATTTCTTAGAAACTCAAACTTCATCAGGTTTCTGCCTTTAATGACAGCATGGAGAAGACAAAGCGAGGCAGATCTCTGTGAATTCTAGGCCAGCCTGATCTCAACTCATAGTGAGTTCCAGACTAGCCAGAGATACATAGTGAGACTCTGTCTTAAAAAAAGAGAAAGAAAGAAAGAAAGAAAGAAAGAAAGAAAGAAAGGAAGAAAGAAAGGAAGGAAGAAAGAAAGAGACTTCAAACTTTCGGGCCACACCCCATGCTGAATCAGACACATGAAGTCAAGGCTCAGCAATCTGTCTGAACAGGCCCAGATGACTCTGGTGCTCACCGGAGAACACATGCCAGCAGGGTTTGGAATCCCTGAAGATGCCAGTCCCAATTCCAAACGAATGATATATACTTGTTTAAATGCATCATAGAGGTGGCAGGGTGGTTAGAAGCCATTTTTCATCTACAAAAATCATCCATTTTTTAATTCTTTTTTGTTTTCCAGAGACAGAGTTTCTCTGCACAGCCTTGGCTGTCCTGGAATTTATTCATTAGACCAGGCTGAACTCCAACTCACAGAGCTCCGCCTGCCTCTGCCTCCCAAGTGTGCCAACACTGCCCACAGCATTTCTCAATTCTTTAGGCAGGTGCCACATGCCAGGGTCTATTCCAAACTGGAGGGAGTTAATGGTGAATGAAGACAGCTCTCACAAGCTAACTCCTTACAAAACAAAACAGCTCCTGCCCAGCCCTCTTAGCCTTGAAAAACCGGAGTAGTGGTTATTGACCAGTGGACAGCACTCACATGTCCTCAAGGCACTCCATTTTGGTTTTAAGAATAATTTAGCCAAGAATGGTAAAGCATTTCTGCATTCTGGAGGCTGATGCAAGAAGATCACCAGTTCAAGGTCAGCCTGGATTACATGGTGTGTTAAAAAAAAAGCACCGATTCCCTCAGAAAGGAATGATTCAAGATGAGCTCTGGGCACATGAATCCGGAGAAGCAGAGTGGCCGCTATCACATGTTCTTCCAAATAATCCATTTTAACCACAAGCTCCATTCTGGTGACCTTTAGGGCTGCAGCTGCATTTCTGTCTCCCATCAGCGATTCCTAACGTGAAGACGTTTGCCTACTCCACCCTGTTTCAAGTTCTGCATTCTGCACTATGTATTTGTCACATACTGTCACCATAGTGGTCACTAAGCAAAGCCAAGGTGACTTTCACATATCTGGGTAAGAGCCACAACAGGGAAAGAATCCCATTCCAAATTACTGTAGGACGTCAGAGGGGCCCAGGCATGTATTCACTGAGACAGATAGGGGTTTGGGAGAGAAGGGCGGGCGGATAATTTGACGCTGACACTGAAGAGGGGCTAAGCAAAGCATAAGGGTCCTTTATCTGTATTGTTATGTAAAGTCGTGTGTAAATCAGATGCTGTTTCTAAGGCAACTGCTCTGGAGCTTTAGAAAGGGAGCCTATACTTGAGTTCTGGGAGACGGCTTCCTTGACACTTCTGGCCTTTCTGTGAACCTTGAAAGGGCTTGACCCTCCAGCCCAGAGTGAGTGCGCTCCAGCCTCCGGGTCACCCCCTATGCTTGGGAACTAGAATCTTGACTGCGGCGGGATGCCATTCTAGTGCGTGGCCGAGATAGACGGAGGTTTTGAACCATACGTGGAGGCATCCGGAGGTCAGGCCTGTCACCCTACCTCGTGTGGCCCGAGAGGGGAGGAAGCCATCTCTTCAATGATCAGGGGATGTTTCAACTCGGCGCAGAGTGCGGCGCGGTAGTGCCGGCCCTGGCTCTGCGCGGCTCGCCTGCAACGAAGGAAAAGGGGATTGGTTTTCTCTGGCGTATCCAGGGGCCGGTACTGGGGGGTTCTGGGGAAGAGTCGGGCTTGCACCTGCACAGCCATGCCAGAGGGAGGTGCCGTGCACACAGCCGCGCCGCCATGACCAGCAGAATGTCGCGAGGGGCGTGGCCATGAAGACGCGCCCCGGGCGACCCGCCGACCCAGCGGGCGGAGCTCAGATGTCCCAGCCAGGGGCTGTTAGCCCCACCTTGCTCCTAAGGCTAGAACACGGGGCGCACAGCCCTGAAGCCCGGACTCGGTGCTGGAGAGCAAATAGGGAGCATAAAGAAAAATGACTCGATTACCCCAGGTTAACCTTTTTGTTGAGAGAGGGTCTCACGATGTAGCTCTCGCTGGCCTGGAACTCACAGTTTTGAGCAGGCTGGCCTAGAACATGTGATCTTCCTGCCTGTTTCCTGGGTGCTGGGACTACAGCTGCATGTGCCTGGGAGACTGTTAAATTCGTTTTTGGCCCCTGACCATGTTGGCGCACGCCTTTAATCCCAGCACTCTGAATTGGAGGCCAGCCTGGTCTACACAGTGAGTTCCAGGACAGCCAGGACTCCACAGAGAAACCTTGTCTTGAGAAACAAAACAACAAAATCCGTTTGAGTGACATTTCAGCAGTAGTTCTGGGTTCTTTGTAAGGAAGAAGTTCTAAATGCATAGGTGAGTCCTTTGATGTCTGCATTCGAACACCTTGCTAGTGTCCCTGCTACTAATTTTCTCACACCGGATTAATTATGATAAAACTATACCGTTACTAATGATCTGGTGTTAGCTGAAACTAAGCAAATCCAAAGAGAATGTCCAATTAGAGACAAGCCAGCTGGGCACACTCCTGTAATCCCAGGACCCAGGAGACAGAGGCAAGAAAACCAAACATAATGAGACCCTGTCTCAAGTAAAAATAAAAATAAGCTTACATGGTGGCAAACGCTTTTAATCCCATCACTCAGAAGACAGAGATAGGTGAATCTCTATAAATTTGAGGCCAGCCTGGTCTGCATAGCCAAGGCTACATAGCTGAATTGTGTCTCAAAATACTAACTAATGAAGAAGGCCAAAACTTAATGGTTTTCATGTACCAAAGGCCTGTCTATATTAGGTTTAACATTTAGTAAATGTGATTTAGTGACCACATAATCCCTAGGTGCATAGGTACACCCTGGAAGAACTAAAAGCAGCATTATTGTATATGTAAGATTGTATATAAAACTAGTTAGGAGTTGGCAAGATGGCCGAATGGGTAAAGGTGCTCATTAAAAGCTTGACAGATGAATTCAATCCCCAGAACCCACATGGTGGAAGGAGAGAACTTACACCCAAAAATTGTCCTCTGAACTCCAAAGGCTGGCCTTAATGATATAAGTATACACACACACAATAAATGGTATGTATATTAATAATTTTATTTGATGTTATCATTAAATATATAATCAAATAAATTGTTGCATTACATATAAAATATATATTGCATATTAAAAATAAACTGGTCATATGTACTTACAACAGCAACCAAATATATGCCAGCAATAGATGAGAGGTATGTGATATTCTGGGGAGATTGTATCATTGGATAAATAGCATTTAATGACAGCACAGTGTTTTATGAAACCCTGTAGTAACAACTCTTTGACCACCTCCTTAATGGTTTTCACCCTCAATTAACTCTTCCATAAAAAGAAGGCATTGAACATGAATGGACAGCAGTTAAATGAAGGGAAACTGTAAAGCAAAAGTTTTACAGAGCCGGGCAGAGGTGTTGAACGCCTTTAGTCCCAGCACTTGTGAGGCAGAGGCAGGCAGACCTCTGTGAGTTCAAGCCCAGCCTGGTTTACAAAGTGAGTTCTAGAACAGCCAGTGCTACACAGAAAATCCCTGTCTCAACCTCCCCCCACACACACACAAATAAAAGCAAAAATGAAGTAAGAATGCATTTCTGAAATTATGCTCTAAAGGCTTTGATGGTTGAGGAACCCAATACCAAATAACCACTTCAGGTGTACAGTAGAGGACACTGTCATTATAATAGCATCCACTGGGAATTTTTAGCTTCACACACAACAGAATGTCTAGAATGTGAAAAGATTTTTTAAAAACCTGTGTTTCCAACAAGGCAGACATGAAAGCACTCTGTAAACTGCTAATCATTACGAATATTGATGGAACCAGGAGCAGGAGCTGGAGCTCAGTGCCGCAGTGCTTGCCTAGCATGCTGGGTTCAATCCTCAGCAACTTTAAAAAAGAAAGAACCCAGATTTATGGAGAAATACAATGTCACTACCAAATGGCCATTCTTAGGTTAGTAGTATAGAGCGCCAACCTAGCCTGTGAGGCCCTAGGTTTGGTTCTAAGCACAGCACACACACACACACACACACACACACACACACACACACACAAAATGATCTTAGTACCAGAAAACAGTCAACAACAAGAAATCTCAAATTTATGATATATGATATAACCAGAATTGTTTGCTCTGAGTATTAATTGTTATTGCTTTGTAGACCAGGCTGGCCTTAAATTCACAAGAGATCCAATTGGTACCTCCAGAGTGCTGGGATTAAAGGTATACACCACCACCCAGCTCTAGCAACCATTATTTTTTATTTATTATTATTTTTTTTTTTTTTTGCTTTTTTTGGAGACAGGGTTTCTCTGTATTGCTTTGGAGTCTGTCCTGGAAATCACTCTGTAGACCAGGCCTAGCAACCATTTCTTAATCTTATTTATATTTACAGTATTTGTATAATACTTGACACTTACAAACATTTAATAGATATATATCTAATGAATTGTTGAATGAGAGTTCAGTTATCCAGTATTAATTTTCCAGATAACTAGAAGTAACTTTAAGTATTAAGTCTTTTATTTTCAGGTAAGTGCTTTTGATAGAAATTTTTTCATGTGCAAATATGTAGGAGGAGGAACGTATGTGTGGTGTATGTTTGTGTATGCATAAGGGTGAACATGCCTGTACTTACGCAAAGGCCAGAGGAGGATGGTGGGTGTGCTGATCTTTCACTTTCTGTCTTATTCCTTCAAGGCAGGGTCTCTCACTGGCCTTGGAGGAGCTGATAAGCAAGGCCCAGAGGGGCCTGCTCCTCCTGTCTCCACCTCCCAAAGACCTACACATGACTGACCACTCCGGGCTTTTTAGGAGGGTTCTAGCATTAAACTCTAGTCTTCATGCTTATACAACAAGCACTTTTACTCACTGAGATATCTCTCTAGCCCCAGAAAAATGTTCTATTATTGTTTTCACAAAATTCTGCCAATCCCAGAGACAATGAAGATCAATGAGTATAAGGAAATCTTTCAGTACTACATTCAACATTTATAAAACTATCTGAAGAAATTAGTAGACATCTATTTAAGAAGAGTCTTGAAAGGTGTTGAAAGTATTTTAGGTAGAGCTGATCTGAGCACTGATATGTAAAAGAAGTTTCACATTTACAGAGTGCAGTCAAAAGGGCGGCAGGCTATTTAATAGTAGTTACCATGGTAGCAAAAGAAACATCTAGCCACCACACCTTACTGTCTACTTTTAGCTATTGTTTCTGGTTGTCCTGGTTATTTAGTTTTATTTGGAAGTAAGACAGAAAGAAGAAACGAAAAGAATAAAAGTTGAGTCCTGTAGGAGATTAACATCAAGCTAAATTCAAACCATCATCAGTCTTCTCCAAAGGAGGCGGGAGATCCATGGCTGCCCTGCAAACCAGCTTGAGGGCTCATTAGGGAAGTAAAAGAGTAACAGATGATCTTCCTTCTGCTACAAATCACACGAAGAGATAATATTTAACATCCAGGAGCTGCTTGGAGGGCTGGGGGGAAAGAAGCAAGCCAAAGCTGGATACACAAACCTCTCTGTTTTCACAGAATAGTAGACAAACAATAGAAGCTCAATATAGGGTGTTTCTGGGAATGTACAAGAATCCTCCACAGCAAAAATGTGCTAACCAATAATGCTTCTTGAAAAGAGAGGCTGTCTCTGCTGCCTCCAAGTTCACCTCCATGTCTAGCACATAGCAAATACCCAGTGAATGTTAAGAGGGCGGGTAGTAAGAAGCTCAACAAACTGTATAGGAAAACTATAATTGAAGTCACAAATCCCAAAGGTTTTTGTTCATCTGTTTGTTAGGATTTATCTATTATTTATGTGTGTGTGTGTGTGTGTGTGTGTGTGTGTGTGTGTGTGTGTGTGTACATCCATGAGTGTATGTGCAACCCATGCAGGAATCCATGGAGGCCAGAAGAGGGAGTCAGATACCCTAGAACTGGAGTCAGAAGCAGTTGTGAGCCCTGTAGTTTCTGGGGATAGAATTTTCAAAGAGCAGTAAATACTCTTAACTGCTGAACCATCATTGTGGTCCCAGTTTTAAGGGTTCTTGCACATACTTCCTTGCCTGAGTCTATGGATGCTGGGCATAATTTGGTCTTCATGTAGTCTAGTTCAACATTGCTATCATAGTTATCAGTTATCATCTTGTGGTGTCCTCCAAAATGCTTGAAACATGTAGGAAGAGTTTGCCTTTTCAGTACTCTCCCCTGGACATTAATTCTGGTTATTCCAGGGGAGGTAGCGTTTATCAGCTTCAGAGATGTGCTTTACCATTGATCTGAGTAATTGCCAGTTACTATTACTCCATCTCGGGAATAGTCAAAGGTTTGCTATGTACATTATTTTTCCAACCCATAGAATCAGGATTTCTGACCTGATAGGAAATTCAGGATAATCCCAGCACTTGGGAGGCAGAGGCAAGAGGATCTCTATGAGTTCAAGGCCAACCTGGATAGCCAGGGATACAGAGAAACACTGTCTCAAAAATAATGAGATATTCTCATCAAACCGCCTCATTTGTAAGAAATAGGGTAGGTGGGATGTGGCCCAAAGTCACATTGCTGGGTCGGGGTGGTGACAGCATTAGAATCAGATTTTCCTCTCTGCTACTCTTTCTACCATACAGGCTGGGTCTCATTTCTCCACATGTACATCATCATCATCATCATCATCATCATCATCATCATCCTTACTTCACCTTTTCATAGTGCTTAGTAGGTTTCAAATCACTGTCACCCAAACCACCTCATCAGTAACAGTGAGAGTAATGACAATCAAC